CGCGCGGGGCTCCGCGGCGACGCTGCGGAACCGTCTGCGGCCCGGCGGGAGCCCGGCATCCCTCGGGGTGCTGAGCTGCCGCCGCCTGGCACTTGCAGGCTGTCGGGTCACACGTGGGCATGAGCTCAGGCCGCGCGCGGGCCCTCAGTTCTCGAGCTGGTTTCTGCCTACCGGGTGTCTGTGTAAAATAATGAGGGCGAGCGGATGGTGAAACTATGACCGCCCTTTGTCCTTTGAAAACGTGAGTGTTGTGAGATTCGGCGCTGGACGCCGCGTGGTGTGTGTCCCTTAGAGTGGTCAGTGCCGTGTTCTTGACCCAAATTGGCTTGACTTGGTTCTCCCAACCCCCTGCGGGCACTCAGCTAAATGTAGTTTTCTGGATTAGATGATTTGGGGAAGCAGTTTCTAATATTTGCTTTATGTGCCCATAACTACGCATTTCTCCAGACCGTCCCTGAGCATGCCCGAGACAGTCTGCCTAAGGCTAACAATTACTGGGGTCAGTGGGGGCTCTTAAGTCCTGTTCTGTTTCTACTTAGTTTCCCACGATGACCCCCGTCCCCACTTTAGCTAAGAAAGAATGACATTTTGTATGGCGTTCCCCCTCTCCTCCGTCTGAGAAGCATTTTTCTTATCACCAGTTTTAGAATGAGAGAAATACATGCTTCCACCTTCCTGATAGCCGGAAGCTAGTGTGCCCCTTACTTCCAAGACCGGTTATAGACCAGTTAAGTCACGTGCTTACCGATAAAACCAGTGGTTTTCTTTTAACCAGCTCTGTCTCAGCCATTTTATAGCTAGCTCGTCCTTTTTACGTGTGTTCATAGTTATCTCAGAATGTTCGTGGATTTGGGAAAACAGTAAAGGTATTGGGCTACAGATTTAATCATACCAGGGTGTAAAAATTCTTGAAGAGTTGCTAAAAAAAAAAAAAAAATTTCAGTCGTATTTTTAAGAAAGTTTGCCCAGCAAATAGCATTTATTCACCAGTAATTATTTTTTATTTATTAATTAGGTTTATATCAATTAGATGTTCTGATTAAGATAATTAAGAGTATTATTTACTCTCCTACAACTTAATCCATATATACCATCGTTTAGTTTTTTTCTAAGTATTGAAAGGGCCTCCATTTCTAATTTTTAAAAACATATACTGGAAATGTGGGTGTTCAAGAATCAAATATGTTGGAATCAGTGTGGACTAAGATTTCTTAACCTCTGCTATTGAGATTTTAATCCCTTGCTGTATACTTTGCATGCTATACTACTTAGCAGCATTGTTGGCCTATACTTGCCCTTAATGCCAATCACATCCCTCCCATGCACCACCAATTGTGATAACTGAAAATATCTTCAGACATTGAGCTTAACATCTTGAAAAGCAAAGTTATTTAGTCACTGAGAGCCGTTGGTTTCTTTGATTTGTGTCCCTGCCTTTTCTCTGGCCACCAGGAAGACCTTATTGATTATATTGCCAATGTATGTTCTAAGGTCAGTTACTTTTTTACCTCTGCTGCTTCCAGCCTTGGCCCAAGTATTCCAGACCAAAAGGGCGACACTTTAGTTTTGGTCCTTCCTGTTTATTATTGTGATTCACTTTTTTAAAAAAGTAAGGAATTTGTGGAGCTGGAGCCATGGATCAACAGTTAAGATCACTGGCTGCTCTTCTGGAGGACCAGGGTTTAGTTCCTCCCACCCATATGGTAATTACAACATCTGTAATTCCAGACCCAGGGGAACCAACACCCTCTTCTAACCTCAGTGAGCACCAGACACACACATGATACATACACATACAGACAAATCACTTGAACATGTATTAAAAAAAAAATCTTTAAAAAAATTAGGAACATTTGTACAGATGTATAGAATATAAAAAAGGATTCAAAAGTAATGTACCCAGTGTAGAGGAATACCATCCAAGAACTATACTATATCTGCCTTTTTATAGCTCAAGTGTCTCTTCTTCCTGACTGTATTGTAGTCCATCATTTCATGATGTTTTGAAAACAGTTCTCACCTATATATTTCCAATTACACTTTAAACCCTTCTCCCTAGAAAAGCTCCATGTAATTAGTTTCTCTATACATTTCTTCCTCTTCCTCCTGCTAGTCTTCCTCTAGCTTTTTGTCCACTTTGCTATCCAAGCATTTCCTGCCTCAGTCTTTAGTCTTGCTTTTTCCTCTGCTGGATGTTCTGTAGCCCTTGGCATGCAGGATTTGACTGCCTCGTTCAGGCCTCACCTGTCTTGGACCACTGATGGCTGGTCATGCCGTTCTGCAACCACTAACTTATTACTGTGCCTTACAGCATTTGTCTGTGTTCTTTGTTTACTTTCTTCTCTTAAATTAGAATGTAAACTGGAGAGCAGTGACTTTGTCTCCATCATTATCAGTTCCTAGCACTATGTTGACAGTCTGGTTATTTGTTGAGTAAATAAATGTTGACCCAAAACTACATTTTTAGTTCATTTTTTGATCTGTGTCTCAGATTTCTCATCTACTTAGTGATCACCCTCAGAAGAATTTCTGAACTCTTCAGTAATCATATCGTACTATGTAAATGGGAGTTGGTACTATAAAATATGTTAATTCATCTGGTATTCTCAAGATCAAGAAGGAATTCCATGGATTATAGTACACTTTAAATAGCTATGTTCAAATAATCTTGGTAAAATTCAGATTGGTTCATCAGATAAGAGCTCTTGCTGCATTGGTCTGAAGATGAATTCAAATCCACAGAACCCACATAAAAAGTTGGGCATAGTCACTCACAGGCCCCTAAAACCATATCCCGGGGGTGGGAGAGACAGGATCACGTGGGCTTGTTGGCTACCCAGCCTAGTTCTAGATTGCTTGTCTCAAGAGAGTAAGGCAGAGAGCAGAGGAGCACAATACCAGATGCCCTCTTCTGACCTCTGCACGTGTGCATTTATACACATGTGCATGCATGCACAATTTTAAATTAAGAAAAGTTAAATGCAACAGGCCAGAAAAAGAGCAAGCACTTTAATAACCAGTGTCTGAAACTGGAGGTAGCCCAGTGTAGTGGAAAAGAATCTGATCTTGGTCCTAATATAATGAATCTAGATTCAATAAGACCTTTTATATACAGAGAAGTTTTGTTCTGGGGTAATTTGTTTTTGTTTGTTTCCTGTTTGTTTGAGACACGGTCTCACTATCGTAGGTAGCTCTGGCTAGTCAGGAACTCAATATGTAGACCAGGCTAGCCTGAACTTGGGAATTCATCCTATGAAAGCTGCCAATTGAGTTCCTTGCCCCTTTAGTGCTGAACCACTTTTGAGGTAAAGCTACCTAGTTCATGAATCACTATCTGCTTAAGTAAATTAAAATTTTAAAGTGCCAAAGAGCTTTTCTTCTATCCATGTTGAAGATCAAAAGCAGGGCCTCCTGTGCAAAGATCTACTTTTCTCACTGAGCTATATCCATTATAATGTGCCAAAGTTTATAGTCAATCAGAACTCTTACCAGCTTCCTAATTTAAGGTAGAGTAGTGTTTTTTTTCTTTATTGCAGAAATATTTTAATATAGTAAGTACAGTTATAAAGTCACATTCCTAATACATTATGTTCAAACTGTTAAAAAATATCTTTTTTGACATTTTCATACATGTATTTTGATAATATTGCTCAGAGTTATACATATTTATTCAACATCTAGGATTTGAACATTTGGTTTTTAAAGATGAGTTCTAGCTGTACTGCTTAAGGAGGCAGCATGTAATTAAATCTGGTTTTTTATCTGAACTTTATATGAAAATATTTTTTTAAATGCCATAATATTTGAGTCCTAGAAAGAACAGTTAGGCAATTTAAGAGAAGATTTTGAAATAATTATAAAACTTTAATTTTAAAAAAGGACTACTTTCCCAAAGGTTCATGCCTTAATATTTAGGTAACTATGGGTTCACAAAGGCTTGGTTTTGTAATCAGGACCTCTATTTTTACTTTATAACATTTCCTCCTGGAAATAGATTTAGAAAACTGAAGATCTTAACCAGAGAAACCCTTAAGAAAAGATGGGTGTGTGTGAGGTTTAAAATTCACTTGGGACAGCAGTTTTGTTTTTAGTAGAATTTTATTTCTCTGATGACATTTCCATTTCTATTTATAGCTATGATCATTCTGGAATTTGCCTTCTGATTCTCTTATGATTTTATATTTTATATTAATAGATAATCTCGTTTCATTTTGGAAATGTATAGAGACATACTTGAGAGGAAAATGGAATTAAACTTTTTACACAAAGCATCTAAGTTACTGTTTTCCTGTGATTTTATCATAGTCATTTCTTATGCCATTTTGCCTACTTGTAGCAACTAAGGATATAAATACTTTCCTTCAGAATAGAATGGTAGTATTTGTTTTCATTTTTTCTTTTCAGGACAGGATCTTGTGTAGTCCAGGCTGACCTTGAACTTGAGATTGATAAGATTGACATCTAGTAGGTACTCAGTAATACTTTTAATTTATTCATAAAAGAGCTGGGCATAGTTCTGGAGTCTGGGCATGCAGAGTAAACAGTAAAAATGCCATCTTCATGAAGATACTCTTAATCCACAATGTCAGTGAAATCATGAGTCATTTTGTCGATTCTCCCTTTCATACAGGTATTTCCATCAGTCTAAGTAGTAAGAGTCTGTAGTTCAGTAGACAGTGGATTGAAAGATTGGGATCAGAAAAGCCTAATGATCAGATAAGTCACTCATTTAGCAAACACTTAATCTCCTAGTTACAGTATTTAAATAACTTCGTGACTGCTCATTGTTGTTATCTCAATGCTTAGGCTCTGTTTTTAACCCTGAGTAAAGAGCTCAGTCCTGGCCAAGTCACAAGTGGGGACTTCCTGTCAGGTCATTTTGGCCCCAAACTCTTTACATGCGGAAGCTCTAGTACTTCACTTATGGTCCTGTTGTCTCCAGTCTGAACTCCTTTGGGCATTGTTTTTGATTTAGTCATTTGGGGGTTATTAATAGAACCATAGCATGTATGTAATGAACTTGGCTTTCCCTTCAAACATTTTATTATCTTTGATGAGTATCAGTTGTACCCACCTTTGTTGAGCCCAGAAACCAGCATCCGATACCCTTTCTAATCTGCATGTTTAGCTTGGAAAATTGTGCAGAATCTATTTAAAATTTCCCATTTGTCTCTTGATATCATAAACATCCTACTTTAGGTCCTATAGTTAACCATTTCTGTTCATTCAGCAAAAGTTCAT